TTAGAAAGGAGTTACTAAATGCTGAAGAATTTTACAAGAAATGTGTCCTTCCTGAGTTAGTGGCAAAGATTTTCTCTGCACCTAAAGTTGTGTGTGATAATAGTCAGCAGTGGTGCTATTGTCGTGAGGCTGAATCTGGCAACATGTTAGTCTGTGCCTCTGGATTCTGTTCTGTACAGAAGTTCCACCAAACCTGTCTGGGAATGAAAAGGGTGCCTAAGCACTGGCTGTGTCCCACCTGTAGAAAAATAAATTCTCAAAAGAAAAGTTAAGCAGACAAGTTTATTATTATTATTACATGGACATTTACTGAGCAGGTACTATTGATTCACATACATTGATGAGAGCACAACAAACTTTCACTAGTTTATCAAGATACATGACATCATTTTCTTTGTCAATGTCAGTAAATGTAATGGGTACTGTGCTTTGTAATAAAGTATATTTTTGACGAACAACTCCTATGACTCTTTCGATGTGTATCCTGAGTGACGCCAAGCTTCGGGTGTTTTCAATCTCAACAGGATCTAACTGCTTTTTCCCACGAGTAAATGCTGGAATCTTTAGGTCGGCTTGGAGAGATTGAAGAGACTGACTAACATTAAAACCCCTATCTGCCAAAACTAGGTCTCCTGGAAGCAAGTGTGATAAAAAGTTACTATTTTCTGTGATAAACGTGTCACTTGTGCGCCCTCCCCACCCATTTGAAATGAAAGAAATTGATCCTTGTGGGCTAATGGCAATCAGATATTTCATAGTGTGATGTGATTTGTATGTTGAATAACACTGGGCACTAGCTAATAGGTTACTTGGCTTTTCAATAAAAATTTCAAAACAGTCAATAATACAAATAGTTTTTTCAAAATGTTTGTTACGGAATGCATTTGGAAGAGTTTTTCTTAAAATCTCTTTTTCAGGCCAGACAATAAGACTTGGAACTAATCTGCAATACATGACACTAATACAATGCTTGAAAAGTTTTGAAACTGTGGTGGAATCAACTCCAAAATAAAAAGCTAAAAATTCAAAGCTTAAATTCATCCGAAGCTTAATTAAAGTCAACAAAAACTGTTGAAATAATGTTAGGGCTGATTTAAGTTTGAGATGTGGGGAAACAACATTAAAAAGGGCCATGAGAATAGAAAATGTTGGTAGTCCAGTCAACAATAGAACTTTATCACTTTTTTGAAGAGCGGATTCAGAAAGTTCAGCTTTAGACAGTTTTTCCTTCAGCAACTGATTTTCTGTTCTTAAAGCTTGAACCTCCAACTTCAGTGAATTCTTTTGTGCTTTACAGTTGTCATTATTGCATGTAGGTCCAATGTCACAATCATTTAAAGAAATGACTGGTTCATTGTAGTCTCTGATAGAGGAGGGCCCGGCAGGAGGCTCACAGTCATGTGCTGGCCCTGTAGTGTCAGAGGATTCACCAGGAGGAATGAAAGGTCCCATGGGTGCTTCAGGTGTTTCTTGCTGTTGTTTTCTTTTTTTAGCTGCTTGTCGTCTGCTAAATGTGTCCATTAGCATCTTTCCTTTCTTCTTTACTGGAGAAGGCACATGTCTGAACACGGATGGGACGTAGTCGGGTGAAAGAGGATTGTCACTCTTTTTACCTTGGGACACAACACACAATTAATACAAATTCAGTACGGTTACAATGCAAATACAATGGAGAACAAGTATAACTATAAGTATAACTTCAAGCATTGAGCTGGATCTACACAACCCTTTGGCTATGTCAAAGTAAAAGTCTTATCACTTAACTTAGCTAGCTATGGTTTCATATCAACATCTGCGGTAAGCACGGTCTCTGACATTTCCGTGGAAAGCCCTGAGCGTTATTTATTGAAATAACATTATAAAACAAGGTATAATGATTTGTTTTAGAAATGTTACCTGTTATGAAATGGTCACTGCACAAGCGGAAACCATTGGGCGACGGGATCCAGCGCTCGCTTTTCTTCAATGTGCTTTGGGCTCGTTTAATTGCAGAAATCCACTTTTCCCTTCGAGCTGGATCTTTAGGAATACGATAGAAGGCTCTGGCTTTACCTTGCCCTCTATGGTTTGTGCATCCAGGTGCACAACATGAGTCTACCATCGTTGCTAAACGTGAACAATGTACGCTTGTTTGGCGCAGCCGCTAGCTGGTTTGTTCACAAGTTCCTGCATAATGCAGTGTCTCCCAAAGTGGGGTCCGCAAGGGTATTGCAGGGGGGCCGCGAGAGGTCATTAAAAAAAAACATGTTTTATATAATTATTGTATGTTAAATTAATAATATTTTGTTTGTAATATTAAAATAGTTGTGTTCATTATTTGACTTGAATAATCAAATTGTAATTATTTTTGTATTACAAAATGGGGTGCGTACATGTTTGTAGCAGAGGCTATTTCCCCCAAATAAAATAACGAGGGGGGGCCATGCAGACCCGTCAGATTTTTAAGGGGGCCGCGGTGTTACTGACTTTGGGAACAGCTGAGCTGAAGATACAGATTTTATGTTATTTTAATATTTATTTAGGTATAGTGATGTCCCATACTTGATATAAACTCCGAAACAACAGTAGTTATTTTGGAGGACCGTTGAATTTGCCAACATAGATCAGAGAATCAAACAGTTCCATCACAAGAAATGCAATGATAAAAAACACATAGAGCCAGTGGTCCATAAATGTTGATAAATGTCCATAAAACTTTGTGTAATACTGTCAGATACTACTGCCATTACTAATTACAGTGGATACAGTATTTTTTTCGGAAAGGCCAAGAACCTTCTTTTTCATCTGCCTCATTCTGTCTTCGGCCCACTGTTTTGTACGCCCTCTGGTTTAATGCCATAAACACTCAATGCAAAGCGATAAAATCTTCACGCAAACAAGGAGGCTTACCTTGGGAAAACCTGAATAAAGCGCCTTTTGTGTAATCACAGCGGAAAAATGCACTCAACTGGTGGTGGATCCCCTCTGATTAAAAGCTTCATGCAGTCTTAGCGTGTCTTCTCATTGGTCTGAAAAGAACAAGAACTACAATTTGAGGTTTTGTGGGACCATAGATCACTATCATTTGAACAAAAATCCACTCCAATTGAACTGTATATTTTGTGAGGATTTGTCCCTTTAAAACCTGCTAAAGGCAACAGATTATTTATCAATCTATAAATATATTTCTTAGAGCTAGTAGATATTGATTACTTCTCCATCCATTGCAAAAAATGATGGAAAAAGAAGAAACAAATGCTCAAATTTGGCTAAATATATCTTATTTTGATCTTGTTTAGAAAATATAAAATAAATGTCTCCCTCGGAATGAGAAAATAAAGCAACAAAATGGCATTGTCCCATCGAAAATCATGTTTTAACACAGTCAGAATGTACTCAAATCAAGATAAAAAATTAAGAAAACACTTGATTCAAGCAATAATTACCTCATTTTATCATTTTACTTTTGTTTGAATAAAAATAAATAAAGAGGCAATTATGGACCTCTATTTAGGGTTAGAGTGGAGTCTACTATCACACATATCACTTTAGCATTGATCAAAAATGTAGCTTGTAAGACCACATCCATTATTGTTAAGAAATTATTTTACCAGAAATGCATCAAATAAAAAACAAACAGTTTATGCAATATTATGATTTTTATTTTTTGCTGCTTTGGAGAAGTGTGGCTGTCAGAGTTCATGCTAGACAATACTTTAGCACTTTATTTACCCCTCTAGGGCAAGTCATCCTCTGTTGCGCTGGTAGTCCTGACCAAGCAGAGATGTTGATGCTTGGCTTGGTCAGGACTACCAGAGCTGGAGGATTTTTACCTACTGTGCATGTTTTTAGAGGTAGGGGAAACCGGAGCACCCGGAGGAAACCTATGCAGACACGGGGAGAACATGCAAACTCCACTCAGAAAGGCTGATAGGATAACCACTCAGCCACCGTGCCGCCCACGCATTAGACAATCAGACAGTACTTGTGGGAAAACCATCGGATTGTCTGTTAAATATCTCAATGTGTCCTGTTCTTCTGGAGCTGTCGGGGTTAATGCCAGACAGTACTTTATACCAACCATCATCAACAGAGACTACCTCCTACGGAACATTGGGACTTATTTATGAATTTGTGGTGTTTTGGTTCTATTTCTTGTTTTTATCTGCGGAATTAAGTCTTAAAATTTAGGTTCGGGTAATTGGGAGGATTAGGACGGTACAGGGGATGTGTTTAGGATTAGACAATTGGGTGATTCTTGCGGGAAAGCCTTCTGATTGTCTCCTAAATATGATGGAAATGTGTCAAGTTATTGTCTGGGGCTGTCAGGGTTGATGCCAGATAGTACATTATACCACCCATCATCAACGAAGACTTGAGTTATGGAGTTATTTATGTATGTGGGGTGTGGTTTAGACCTGGGGAATGTCTTATATTTTCGGCTTGGGGTAACTTGGGCATGGATTTAGATTTAGATTTATCAGACAATTCTGGCGATTAGGAGTTACTTATGCATTTTTGGTGTAGTAAAGTAAAGTAGTAAAGACCAAATCTTTGCTACTGGGGGATTGTTTGATATTTTAGGTATAGGGGGTTCTTGGTTCTATGTTTGGGGGGTGGGGGAGGGGATTGGGAGGGTGAGGGTTGGCATTAGTGCGTTTACGTTAGCTGCCACATGTAAATCTCATCGTCCTCCTCTTCATCCGGCATGCCAAACCACAGTTTATCTCCAGACTTGGTTAAATTACCGGTCTTTCTGAATAACACGATTCCAGGTGGCTGAGGTTCTTGAATACTCTCTTCTGCTTCAGTGTTTTCGGTTTGGACTTGAACCTCCGGAAACTCTTCCTTCTCTTCTTCTGGTCTCCAGCTTTTTCCAAATTCCAAAGGGCCATAATAGGACTCCTCAGACAGTCTAATATTGGAAGATAAGATCACTGGTTCTTTAGATGCTTTCTCTCTCCGCCTGTTTCGCCTTTTCTTCGTAGGAGTTTGGATCTCGGCTTGCACCTGCAAGGCTTATGAAATCACAGCAAAGTATTATTCCAACATTGAAGTAAGTTACTTATACTTTTACTCTTAAAACGTACACTATAATGCCCTGCCCATTCCACTAGCTGTGACACTTTCTGAGCACTGATACTTTGCTATAGATCTTAACCATTGTTGTGTTTGTGTAATAATTCTATATGCCAAAGCTAGACATTGTAATATACAGGTGTTTATTTTGGTGGGGACCCTAACTTTTCCTTTTGGCTTTGACAATTCCACATTCATTATTATCACCACTAGTGTACTGCTGAGATACCGCAGTGGTTCCCTTTCTCCAACCAGTCGCCTCTCAGAAGACAGAAACTGTCTGCTCCTCTTCATTTTCTTACTTGTTATTTCTGCGATCTGTCTTGTATTTCCTACTTCACTTGCAACAGATGCTGTGTAGTTATACTGTTATGTAATGGTATATTTGAAGAAAACACCAGTTTCCAACTTGCCATGAATTGTGTTATTTTATTTTATATGTTTTAATTTCTGTGATTGTGTGCAAAAAGCAAGCATAATATTTTGTAAAACATGTACTTGCAGGAAAGCTGCCTTGTTATTTGGGTGGGTGGTGTTCATACTACTATCTTACAAGGTGTCCAAGCTCGACAGAGAATACCAAGAATATAATCCTTATGAGGTCCTTAACTTGGATCCGGTAAGAACCAAAATGTCTAATACAACACCCACACCCATTATATAATACAACACTGTACAGATTGTTATATTTTTCTTTAGGAAGCTTCTTTGTCGGAAATCAAGAAACAATACCGTGTATTGTCTCTTAAATATCACCCCGACAGAGGTGGTGATGAGACTACATTTATGAGGATTGCCAAAGCTTATGCTGCGTAAGTGCTAGTTTTTTCACAACACTTAATTTTCTGTTAAATGCTCATTTTGGATTCATTAATTGTTCTAGATTAACCAATGAACAATCACGTCTAAACTGGATAAACTATGGAAATCCAGATGGTCCAGGAGGTGAGTCCATAAATGCTTTAGCATTCTTCACCTCATTCATGGCTGACTTTTTAATTTCCTTATAGCTACCAGTTTTGGTATTGCACTGCCTGCCTGGATTGTGGACCAGAAGAACTCAATGCTGGTAAATTGAATTATGTTCACACGCTTGTAGAGTAAGTTAGTTATATATGACTTAGAGGTAAATTTGTCTGTTATGTTTGATCTTTAGGTCCTTTTAGTGTATGGATTGGCTTTCATGGTCATCCTTCCTGTGGTTGTGGTAAGTTGTCAAAAGCACATTGTTTTTTTATCTGTAATTTACATCTGATACGTTTGTTTAAAAGGGGACATGGTGGTACCGCTCTATCCGCTACAGTGGAGACCAGATCCTTATCAACACCACCCAGCTTTTTATGCATTTTATGTACAAAACGCCCAACATGAACATGAAGCGTAAGTTTTCATCCAGCCCTTCGGGTTTATTTCCCTTGAATGCGTTTGCGTCAATGTTCTTATCTGTAGGCCTAATCATGGTGTTAACGGCTGCACTCGAGTACGACCCTCGCAGCAACAAGGAAGCTACGATACGACCAACAGACAACATTGTAGTACCACAGGTAAGACGTGTGACAAGAGTCTTTGAATCACAAGAAGGTCTCAATGTTTTGCCTGTTTTGTAGCTCATCCGTGAATTGGGGAATATAAATGTCAAGAAGAAGGAGCCTCCTTTCTGCTATCCTTACAGTTTGAAGGCCAGGGTTTTAGTTCTGGGTCATTTAGCACGAATGGATGTTTCAGAGGAACTAGAGGAAGGTGAGGGAGGTCATGATCAAAAGTTTTGTGTCCGCTATGATTAACTGAGCTGTCACTGTGTCGTGCCATTTCAGATCAGAGGTTTGTAATGAGGAAGAGCCCTGCTCTTCTTCAGGAGATGATTAATGTTGGATGTCAATTGACAATGATGGCCAACAGTAGAGGAGGTGAATTTTGACAGACGAACATTTTGTTAAAAGTAATTATTACTCATAAGTCATTCTTTTTGGTGTTTTGTAGGTTTTCATGCTCCACGGTTGGTGACTATCGAGAATTGTATGAAGCTGACCCAGATGATCGTGCAAGGTCTTCAGGAGTCGAAGTCGCCTCTGTTGCAGTTGCCTCACTTTGAGGAGGAGCATTTGCGCTTCTGTATCTCCAAGAAGGTACTTTATACCTCATGCGTAGGGTGAAGTAAGTGGGTGAATATCTAAGTAAACTCTCATTGTGTTTGTAGTATAAAGTACGGACGCTTCAGGACCTTGTGAGCCTGAAGGATTCAGACAGGCGCAGCATGCTGCGCTTCTTGGGGGAGGAGAAGTACGACGAGGTGATGGCTGTGCTTGGCAGCCTTCCTCACATCACCATGGACACTAAACTGCAGGGTCAGTCGGTCAGACTGTACACATGGTCATCATAACTGAACACTCTTTTGAGGTCACAGAGATGAAGTCAGTGTGTTAAATATTTCAACTTTTGACATTTTAGTTCTTGATGATGAGGACAGTAATAACATCACTGCAGGCTCCATTGTCACAGTTACTGTCACACTTACAAGAAAACGGATGGTGGTAAGTTAAAGCATTTTAATTAATATTTTACGACATCATGGTTATGTGTGGTGAATACTTTATTTGGCTATTGGCTCCAAAATGTACTGTGGTGAACCGCCACTAGAGTGTGCTATGCTATTATGAAGAATGAACCATATTTTGTAGGAGGTATTTGAAAAGGAGCAGGAGGCGACTCCATGTCCAGGAGAAGAGGCACCAAACTCAGAGGAAGCGGTGAGACAAATCAATCAGATGGTTTCAGCTTTTTTACGAGTTTAATGTGGGTAATATTATATGTGCAGCCTGGAGATGCAAATAAAGTCAAACCTAAAGTTTGGCAAAACAAGAACAAAGGGGCTAAAAAGATGGCAAAGTCTAAGAAGAAGAAATTACCCAAGAAGAAAGCTGCTCCTGCCACATCCAAAACAAAACAAGCAAATGGCAATGTCACAGGAACTGTAAGTCACTTGTCAACACGTGTTTTCAATAAATCACAATAAGTATTCAACACAGTGGATCATAAATGTGGACAGGAAGTGGCAGCAGGGGCCGCCGCAACAGCAGCAAAGGACGAGGAGGACGAGGGCTCAGACAGAGGCAGTGAGTCTGATGAGGGCGAGGCCAACAAAGACTCTCCCAGCGAACGAGAGGAAGACAGCGACAAACAGAGCGACACTGAAGCAGATGAGATTGCAGGAGACGACGAGGAGGTCACATCATTTCAGTAATTGTGAATAAGGTGCATGCATGAGAGCAGCGCTGACCATGTCTCTGTGCGTCATGTCAGGAGTGGGAGGCGCTGCAACAGAGCATCCAGCGGAGAGAGAAGGCTTTGCTGGAGACCAAGTCAAAGGTGACGCACCCGGTTTACAGCCTGTACTTCCCAGAGGAGAAGCAGGAGTGGTGGTGGCTCTACATCGCAGACCGCAAAGACCAGACCCTAGTGTCCATGCCCTTCCATGTGTGCACACTAAAGGACACAGAGGAGGTGAGTATGCTGCTGACTCAAACTGAAACACATTTTACATCACAGTAATTACTAACGGCTAATCCCAACTCTAGATAACGATTTTACCTATCACGATATGGTGATATTTTTTCTACTTTCTAAGAGCGCTGCTGAGTGACCTTTTGAGGAAATATGATTGTAAAGCAAAGTTCTTTGAACAGAAAGCTGAGCAGTTTTCACTTTAGTGGAGACGTCTTCGGTGTTGTGTTTTAAACAAACTTCAGACACAAAGCACAGTCTTGGTCACTGATATCAAACTATCTTTTTGAGTCTTGGCTTTCTCATAATTTCCAATGCATTTATGAAATTAGTTTTATAAGAAAAAAAATAATCAATCTACTTTTGTATTGCCCAAAATCACATCTCTGTTCACTTCGGAAGGGCGTCCCAGAATTATTGATTTTGCCAAAAACAAATTAGAAAGTCAAACTATTATTAAAAATAGTAAAATCTCATCAACCACCTCTGAGGGATTGGTCCATAGCAGAACAGGTCATGTTCATGAATGTCCTTACATACCCTCTGTCCTTACACGGCCACAAAGCTGAAGGTCACCATTTGAATAATTGTTTTTTCACTCACTGTGTACAAGTATAATAATGGTGACTTGTTATCAATACTATGTTACATCAAAATATCTCTGTAAGCAACTGTAATGAAACTACTCAGTCCAAATTTGCTAGGCTTCAAATATAAACCTATTGTATCAATTTAGAAACTCATTACACCCCAAATACTTACTATGCAGTGATAGTCCTTGGAACACTGAGCGTGAGGAAACTAAATTCCATGAATTCCTTTTTGCGATAATGATGCTGTAATCTGCGAATATAAGTTGCTAGAGTAATTTGTCTCGCATGCTGTTACTAGGCAACCCTTTGTCATTATCACACATTGGAGATGTATTGTGAGTGTTGAATTAGATGTGTAAAGAGGCCAATATTTTCTCTGAAACTGTAACGATGAGAGGGGAACCCTCAAAAACACAGTGAGCCAGTGTATGTGTTCTTGACTCACGGAGCTGGTAGTTCGGCCTTTTCACGATTCTGTAAGTGACACACATATTGCATTGTAATTAACCTTGCAGCTGGTAATTGGCTCTTTGCTACATGAAAGTGAACCACCTGGTAATTAATTTAGCGTCTAGGCCTTCTAGATAAATATTTACACATGGATCTTTTCACAACATGACAGTTTGCTTCACTTGCCTTGCCCGCCCCTCTCAGTGGTTAAGTGCCAGTAGCAGTTTTATAATGAGCCTCCCTGTGTGTCACAATGCCACAGAATTATAATTACTGGTAGAACAGGTTTGCGAGAGGGAAGAATGGTCTATAATGGGTCTCTACCAGTAAATATGTTACAGACGATACTCATTATTTGAATCTGAGTTTTTCCTCTGTTATTTCTGCTCTTATTCAGGTGGAACTGAAGTTTCCAGCGCCCTCCAAAACAGGCAACTACCAATATTCTGTCATCCTGCGGTCTGACTCCTACATGGGCCTGGACCTGATCAAACCACTGAAGGTGAGGGGAAACTCTCTTTTATAGTCATTCTCTGTCATTTGGTCATTGATAGGACATTCACCACATCTGCCTTGTGTGTGTGCGGAGGACAACAGTGGCAGACATTTTTTTCTTTGACTTTTTTACATCTTTGTTGTTTTTTGTCTTGACATTTTTTTGTATACTTCTTTTGAAAGAGCCTGGGCACTTTTCATCTGTGCAGTCAAATAATCAGTAGCAGGAGGGGCTCTTTAATGTAGAAATACAAGTTTATGATATTTCTAACATAATTTGGTGATGTTTATAATAATAATAAGAATATTGCTGTTTTTTCCGCAGCTGGAAGTGCACGAGGCCAGAGCGATCCTGGACCATCCACAATGGGACATCCCAGACACAGAGGACGAAGACGAGGAGCCAGAAGAGAGCGACGGCATCGAGGACAGCGAAGAGGAGGACGAGGACAATGACTGAGCCACCGTCCCACATGAGTGACATCATCAGAGAGCGTCCCGGGACCGTCTCACACCGCACCCTTCCTCCTTCATTTTACAGAAATACAAACTGCTCCCACGTCCTTTTTCTACAATGACTTTTTCACTCCCAGTCCGTCACTGGTGGAAAATAATTTTGTGAATACTACCAGGCTCATCTACGAGTGTGCGCGCGTTGGTGTGTGTGTGTGTGTGTGCGTGTAAGTGTGCGTGCGCGTGTGTGTGTGTGTGTGTGTGTGTGCGTGCGTTTGTTGTAAACTTGTATTTGTACAGGTGTGAAAGAGTGACGCACTGTGGACTGGAGGACCTATTATGATTGCTCTTCTCTATAGAGGGAAGAGAGGGATGTTTTCAGCTAATTGTGATTGCAAAAATAACTCTGACACACCCTCTTTGTGTAAAGAAAAAAAGAAATGAACTGGCTCTGAACTATAAAAAATCTCTGCACCGATGTTTTCCACGTCAATGATGCTCTCTTTAATGTAACTTCGGGAGTCGAGCTTTAGCCCTAAAATCGACGTTTGAGGTTTGCTTTCAATATTTAGTTTTTGTTTTGACGCCAACCCAACTTTTTGTTTTTGTTTTTACCAATCTCCAGTTAGACATTTCCACAGCATTGTATTCACACGTTTATGTTTTAAATGATGCAGATAGATGCTGGACTGGTCATAAATATGTGTCCCGGTTGGTTGTTATGTATACTATACTATACTATACTATTAATGTACAATCCATAAGTTCAACTGCAGCACATTCCAAGTACACTGTCCAGAAAAGCCTTATTTGTGGGGTGCATAATTTGTTTAACAGTGTTTTGATATAGTTTCACAAATGTTTAAGCATACATATCATCAGTTGATACACAGTCTACAAGTAAACGAGGAGTTTACTTATGTTGGAACAAATGCACAACTTATCACAAAAATTCATGTGAAATCTTGAGTCTTGAACAGTCAGCACCATTTCAAGCAGCTACTCGGTCGACGTGTAAACATACTCTTGTTAATTTATTTTGGTTATTGTTAAAACAATGTTTTAAACTCAACATTGTTTTCTCCCACATCACAGCTTCTGGTTCTGTTCAACCATCGTCGCATGAGGCGCGTTTTGACAGTTCATAATTGGATTTGATCGTTCATTCATAAAACTAATAATTGGGGTATACTCTACCAGTGTGTGAGAAGTCTGAAAAGGGAAAAGGCATCTCTCTACGACACAGTGATGATGGTCCAGGGAGGTAGTAACATTGTACTTCAAGTATTTGGCACTCTGCAGTAGAATGTAGCATCAGTGACTGTGCTGTGTGGAAAACTGCAGTGAGATTATTTCGGTATAATGCCACCAGAACCCAACACGCCTCTTTGTCCAGACTTAGGACAAAATACCTAACAAATATCTCACTTTTGTTTACAAAGAAACTGTCATTGTAAATGGAAAAATATATTATTTGTATTTAAAATCATTTCAAATAATAAAAATACAACTTTTAAATTATTGCGTTTATGTCCTTTATATTTGATTTCATGTATAAATATTCACTTTAATTTAGTCTGGTCTTAGCTAGGCTAACATGTATCACATTAATAGATAATGATGAATAGTTGATGTAGTTGTGATTTTAGACATGGCCTTTTTGACATGGCCGTAGACTAAACAGACCCTGTAATCGAGCGGATTGGTTATCAAAGGCTTTGGACATTTATTACACTACTATGAAATAGGCTCATTCCGAGCTGAGCTTTAACCAGGCGCAGAGCGGAGGTGGACAGAACCCGAAGTGTCTCTGAGTCTGAACAAACTCTGAGCACCGGGATCACACCAGGAACACACAAGGAACACACCGGGATCACACCGGGACGGACTGCGCCACAACGGGGAACGTGTCTCGTCTTTGCCGCATGTGAGGCGGTGTGGGGCGGACAGCAGTGAGGCCACAGCGGCTTCTGTCAGCTCGATCAGCCGCTACAGCAGACAGACAGGACCACAGACAGGACCACAGACAGGACCACAGACAGGACCACAGACAGGACCACAGACAGGACCACAGACAGGACCACAGACAGGACCACAGACAGGACCACAGACAGGACCACAGACAGGACGGGCGCCTCTCCTCTTCAGCGCCTACATCATGGATTCCCGCGGCTTCCTGCTCGCACAGGTAAAGTCTGCACCGTGGCGAGCACAGCTCTAGCTCTGCGCACAACCTTCATTCAAGTCACTTCATCTTATTCTCTAGTCTGTAATCAGGCGCACTAGTCATGATACTGGCTTATACAGTGGTTTTACATGTATTCATCATCGTCATCATCATCATCATGCAGGGTATCTGCTGTCATCGTTTGGAGTAATCACAAAAGTAAAGAACCTCTTCTACAATGACAAAGACTGTCACAGATGTTACATGGCTGATGTTCAGGGCCAATACATGCTATTGAGAACTGAACACTTCTGATCAGGGTCATTAGGGCGGTTTCTGTTGTCATTATAACTTTTATTTTCAATGAATGGTTTATACAACCACTAACAATACGTTTTCATTTTTTGCTATGTAAAATGCATGTTTTTGTTGTTGTTTTTTTTTAACCTAGCCTGAGGATTTGCAGTTGAATAAATAAACCAAGGTCATATGGTCAAGTTTATAGTGTAATATGTTACCACAAAGAGGTGGTGTGTCTGTATTATTTTTGGCAATCACAATTGGCTGAAATACATCCCTCTCTTTCCTCTATAGAGCTATTGAAAAAGTGATTATTTAGAAGAGTCTTAAAGTTCTCATGGGGCATTCCCTCGATAAATCCTCAAGATGTGTTGTTGTTGACCTACACAAAGACACTTTCCATCTCAACAATGTGGCGTCATCACAAAGTATCATAGGCCTTTAGGCTGATGAGTGAGAAGAAGACATAAGTCTATAGCGTGATACTATAGAACCCCCAAGCAGCAGCTCTGCTGTCAGCGCTGCAGGCTCCATTATTATTGTAAAGTGGCAGATAAAGCTTTTTAATCTCCCTTGGGATCCAGAGCTCTCAAATGGAGGGTCCCGTGGGTGATGGAAGCTGCTTGCACATGATTTCATCAAACTGCAATGAATGCAAGAAGTGCAGACATGATATAGCTATTTCATAATGTTGCACAGACGTGAAGTGTGGCGATCCCTCTGTCAGTTGACCCAGATTTAAGTTCATTTATTTTAGTTTAAAGATCATGATGACAAGGTTCTATATTAATATGTTGTGTGTTGTTTCTACAAATACAATCCAAACCATTTGTTGCCGGTGCCCTGCATGTGCAGCAGTGATGAATGTACACCAGGTGTGTACGGTATTCAGATGTTGACCAAACACGCTGGAATTCCCCAAAAAAGCTGGCGACCCAAATAAGAGACTCGTCCTGCGTTGTGACTGGATATTCTGCTTGAAATTTTTTTACATGAATAAAATTATCTTAATTCATTAATTTTAGTTGTTTTAGTTGATGTGTTGTAAAGTTTAAAAGTTTACCTGTAGCCATAAAAACAAAAACCTGAGCCTGTCTTTCACCAGCTCCCGCTCTGAGGCTGTTTTTTGAGCAGATGAAGCTAAACACTTCTTTAGTTCCATTAACCATTAAATCCAGCCTCATGAGGCCAAACTGCATTCACTGCACCTGCTATTGTGCTAATAAACCCAGCGGCTATGCATTTATTATTAGCAATAACAATTTGGAGCCCTCTCTATAAAGTGGTTGTTTATGTGCTTTCTTGACTGGATTTATTATTTCCTGGATATATTTTCAAAACAATTTGTATATATTTTACCTAAATACAGCATCTACCTGACGCTGTATTTGTAATTCATTTCAGTTTATGTCTTTATTTATATGTTTTCATGAATGCTTTTTACATTTGTCAATCAGATTTTTTTTTTTTTTTTTTTTTTAAGTTAAATTGGGGACATGTTTCTTTATTAAACCTATTTGATCACTTCCTTATTTCAGGGTTGGGGAATTGTTGAGGTCACAAGGCTGATGGAGTTTATTTTAAATTCAATATTGAACCTAAATAAATTATTTTTCAACCTGTAGCGTGTTTGACCAATGAAGCGGCATGAGACTGCGTGGAGGGCGGGACATAACCCCTGAGCCGGCTCCTGTGTCCTGGCTCCCGGGGGTCCTCACTAAAGGGGTACGGCTGCGGCTGCGCATGGATCGTCATGGAAACCCTGGACGGGACTGTTGGCACCTGGTGGATCTCGATGCTGAGATGAAGCCGATTGGACGAAGGCGCCATGGTCCAAACTCTGCTTCTATCGGTAAGCTTTTGGTTGAAGATCCTAGCTTTTTCATATTGAGTTGAATTGAGTACAAGGTTGTAACATGTTAAAAATGGTCATTTTGATCATGTTACAATCTTGTTCCCGCATCAAAAACATATCTTCACTTGTTTTCAGCTCTATCCCTGCATAACCCTAACCCTAATAACAAAGACTTCTGGCAAATATTCGCCCTTTTACCTAAAAGATTTTGGCAATGTCTGTGTCCATTCAATTAAACCACACCAATAATACATTTTATATTAAATTAAATTTAAATGCAGCAGAATTGCCACAATAAGACAGTGTCGATGCATTATACTAATAATAATTGTATTGCTTGATATTGTTAATGATTGGTTCCTTAAAGGAGATGTATTTTGCTACTTTTTTTTTTGCTTTTAACCATGTTACAATATTTTCCTCGATCAAAAACAGACCTGGAGTTGTTTTTCTAACCACTCATGCTAATATTAGTAACTTCTACCACAAACATGTACTGTAACTCTCCCCCTTCTACCTAAAGGTCTCTGTCCTGTAATAGTATGATGTTGTTGTGCCACTATGACATTTTCCGCCTTTTAAAACTTTCCCCTTTAATTCATTTTAGAAATTCTTTGAGTTAAATGATCTGCTTTACAATCGCAGGCTGTGTTTGCAGTCGGTGATTTTTTCGAATTTGGTAAAAAACAAAACAAATTGAACTAATTCTGGTGATAGTAGAGGGAGTTAAAGGCTGAGAGTATTTTTTATCCTTCATATTGGCTTCACATATTTTCAAGATATTATATCACATTCTAAAACATGAAATTACAAATAAAATGATCTCATTATAATATTTAACATAACAAAAGAATGCATAAGATTAATTCTTAGAAGCAGCGGGGGTCAGGTTTGGTCAAATTGGGTACTTTTTTCTTGCGACTCTCACTTATCTAGATTCGTTATTTTACCAGAAATCACATAGTTATTATTTTCCAAATTTCCCACTCCTTTTTGCGGAACAATCACTCCATCCCTGAACATGATTAGCCTACACACAACAAGTGCACCGCAACAGGAACTAAATCCAGTTTTGCACCATGGAGTCTGGAGAAGTCTTTATATTCAAAGCACTTTCTGCGTCTTGCATATTGATGTGATGCATGAAATATTCTCATTGTTTATGTGACCGCAGGGCCGTTAAAGAGAGCACTTCACCTTGCCTTTGCAGAGCTGTGTTAAGAAGGACCCCTGAGGAGCCGTGCGGAGGGGCCAGCGCTCGTGTGCGTGCGGATGTTAAGAGCCCATTTAATACTCACTCTGCTGCTTACGTCTTTATTTATTCCCACCTTACCGCGCGACTTTGCCATGGGATCCGATTTCACCATCTGTTACCATGGCGACCCTGTCTAAGCTGTAAATAAATGCAGGCGGTTTGTTAGACGGCTACATTGATTAGAAAGAAAACAACAAATATGCTTTTCCGTCGACAGCAGTTTGCGCCGCTTCCCGAGTGGGGGATATATAGGTCTGCGCTTTGATGCTGATGCTTTAGAATGCAATTATTTATCTGCCAACATGTGAGATCACTTTGTTTTTTTTTTCTTATATGCTTGCGTCCTATTAGTGGAATACATTCTTATGCGCTTCCAATCCTCAAAAGTAGGAATAGATACACGCCTCCAGCCCCCCACAAAGGCATTCGGAAAGTTATGTTAATTACTAAACTGATCATTGCTGTTACTGGCCATTATTGCAGCCTCCCACCGACTTCAAATCATTTACCAAATCAGGCTGATATCTGTGAGCATTGTGTGGCGTGAAATTGAGCACATGGTTTCAGTGAATGCCTAATTGCCTAATTAACCATAAACAAATGAGGCTGGAGTCCCAAATGTGTTGTGTTTGAGCGCAGTGGGGCACGTCCTTCCCTTCGTTTGCAGGCTGAAAAATCACAGTTAGGAGGTTTTTAATGGACTTTGCTTCTCATATCCTTTCCTTTAAAGTTAAAGATGATTATCTGTGCAGCAGCGTGATGTGGCGGCACTGATTTAGGAGGAAGATCTGAATTAATCTGGTTTCATAATGACTTTTTGTGATTTATGACTCTTTTTCCACTTGCGTTCACAGTCAGCTCAAATTACACCAGGGCTCCCAAATACTGCAGAATTGTCACACACCATTAAGTTACTGTATGTTTTATATATTTCTCTTTTTTATATTTCAATATAAATTCGGATGAGCTTGTATTATGTGCATAGCCTATTTATAGTCTATGGTTATTATATTAGCCTTGTGTTTGCTCTCCAATATTGAAACCAGGTCTAAAACAGGACTTTTCTGGGCGTAAATCAGGGCAAATAATTGTATTTAAATATGGAAATGCTCAGACAAGAAGTTGTATTGGAATGATTTTTATTGAGCTTGGTATACATTGAATATATTGGTTTCAGCATGATTAGACACTCATGGTAGGGTATGAAACTATATTTATTTACATGTGGAACATGAAAATGGGATTATTGTTTGGCACCAAAACCCTGGCAGAATTACAACATGACGTATGCAGGAGGGAATTGAAGAGAGATTATGAAAGTGAAGTCCCCCTGGGGTCTAAACCCAGGTGCTGGTGGAAGCTGACGCGATGAGCTAATGACATGCTGAGTGATGTCCCATTTGTTGGTGGTGATAGGGAGGAGGTGGGTTGCTGCACAATTGTCAAAGAGTTGTTTGACAAAGTGGTTGCGAGGCACTGTTTAAATCCAGTAGGTGAAGCAGTTACTGATTAGCAGAGGGACAGGTGTGTATTCAAGAGAGGAGTGACGAGAAGAGGATAGTGGCCAATAATATTTTGAAGGAAGAATCTGGGTAGCTCAACCCACTATTTGAAAAATAAACACTGGCACTGCTTGAAAAATGACACTATAATCCATTGTGACTTAGTATTAAAAATGTATATGTTGTATACAGAGCAGCACGTTGCTTAGCGCACTCAGCAAAAAGGTCCTGGATTCGACTCAGGAGCAGGTTTCCTCCAGGTGCTCGAGTTTCGCCTCCCTCCACAAACATCCTGATTGGATTAGATCACTGCGTGCAGAGTGGCTCAGGACTATCCATCTATCAAATTGTGGTAGAATCACAATCAAGATTTTAACTTAATTTCAGGACAGTGATCAACATTGTCTAGAAATTGTTTTACAAATGTAAGAATTATTAACCACCCAAATTCTAAAAATTAAATAATGTTGAAAGAAAAACACAGGTTGATCTGTAATTAGGTATGTATAAATAGTGCTTGTCAAGTTGCCCTTCTGCTGTATTGTCCTCTGCCTGATGATCTGCTTGGTGCGGTTGTAATGAAAGGCTGTGGTCTGTCGGCTCCGTCACATCAGGTGGTTAAAGCTTTGACAAATCTCTTTACACGCCTGCAGCACTGGTGAGCTCAGCCGCTGCTTGATCCCCCTCTCAAAGGTTAACCTCATTTTGATTGAGTGTGGAAACCCACCAGCACCAGCGTCCCATTTCAGCGTAAAACGTGAGACAAAGAAATCGATGCATGGCAGTGAGGGAATGTAGGACTTTTACGTTTGTTGGCTGGCACAGTGCTTCTTAATCCTGGCAGCAGCATCGTGTGGAGGTGCTGTGCCTTTTGCCCTCACCATCTGACAACCAGCAGAAACATGTCCAAAATAAAAAGTAGAGCTGACATTATTTTGATCTTTTATCACAAACTAAAATAGAAGAGAAAACCTGCAGGGTAACACCAGACCTTTTGATGTTTCAGAGAAATCAATGCTTTTTTTTGGGAGAGCATAAAATTATTTCAAAACAAATCCATCATTTGAGATCAAAGGTCCAAAACCCTCTTAAACTTTCCAAAGGACAATCTTTCTTGAGTTGGTTTAGTCTTAGGTAATCTATAGTCTTCATAGTTTAATCAATGCTTTATCCAAGGAAATTCAATTATGAAAAATCTTTAATTAACTGAAAGTTGGGTGCAAGTAAACTCTGGTTCATTTAAGTGAACTCATTTGTGTTTCATCTGTGGGGGGGGGACGGGGGCGGGGGGGGCGTGTGTGTGTGTGCGTGCGTGTGCGTGTGTGTGTGTGTGTGTGCGTGGGTGTGGGTGTGTGTGTGTGTGTGTGTGTGTGTGTGTGTGTGTGTGTGTGTGTGTGTGTGCGTGCGTGTGTGTGTGTTCGAGTGTGGGAGGGGCTGATGTCTCAGTGGCAGCCTCGCATACCTTTTAATAATACCTAATCAAAGCTCCTCCGGCTTGTGAATTGTATCTTGTGTAATTTAATACCACACTGGTCAAAGGCAAAGCGAACATTTCTATGAACCCTTAATTAGAAATTTGATTATTAATCACTAAACATAATGATGAACAACAACAAGTATGTTATCTTTATTAATAAATCGCCTTTCACAGACCAGAGTCACACACAGATGAGAGCAGGGTTGCCTACAGGATGTTTTTTGGTTGGTGAAACTGGACCTATGCAGACATAGGGAGAACATGCAAACTCCACACAGAAAGGCCTGGAGGTGAAATTGAACCCAGGACCTTCTTGCTGTGAAGCACAAGCACTAACCACTGCGCCACCGTGCCGCCCACAGTCCAAGATAGATATTGAGTGGTCACTGTTTTATGCTGTTTAAATTATGTTTGAATTCCTTTAGACTTCTATAAAGGTGTTCTGAAATGCTCTTTGATCATTTTAGCTCAGATTTCTTAATACTATAATTCAAATAGGGATGCTCCTGTTTGGAATGCGAGTTTTTTCTTTCTTTTTGCCCGAACTGTGCTATTCCAGTTTGATATGGGATATAAAGAGATATCAATCATTCACATTTATTTATTTATAAAGCGCTTTTCATACAAAAAATGCAACACAAAGTGCTTTACAGTTTAGTTATCAACCCTCATTCTTGCTCTTGTGTCAACAAAAAATACAAATTCTGTAAATTAACAGGTTTTAAACCCATTGTAAACAATATTTGTCCGAACAGTGCAGTAC